TTCTCAACTAACTTCAAGTCCTCCTAATGTAGTGCATTCTCATCACTAATCATGAAAGGCAAGCGAGACAATTCAAAGCCTTAGCTTATCAATGGTAATTTTCTTCATCAACATATCAGCTGAATTCTCTAATCTTATGAATTCTCCAATCCTAGATCTTGTTCGGACATATTATCCTATCATCCATCAACTCTCGGATATAATAATACTTCAACTAAATATGTTTGGTTCTTTCTTGAAAAACTAGATTCTTGGTAAGATGAATTGCACTTGGATTGTCATTAAAAAGCTCACTATCTTCATGTGCCTTACCCACTTCTTTCAGAAAGTTCTTCAACCAAACCATTTTTTACCAACTTTTAAAATAGTCATATTCTCAACTTTAGTGGAGGAAAGAGCAACACTTCGAAGTCGAGAAACTCAACTCACAGGAGTACACCTAAAGTAAAAACATAATATGTTCTACTCTTTATATTTTCCGGATCACCGCCTAAATCTACATCAAAAAAATCATTATAGAATAGTATTATTCTTCTTAAAACAAAAGGTCATACACGAAGTACCTTTCGGATAACAAAAAATCCACTTTACTTCTTCGAATGCTTCTTTCTTGGATTTTTCGGACAACTCTCATTACATGAGCTATATTAGATTTTATGCAAACTATAACATACATTAGGCTTCTAACTGTCGATGCATAAGAGACTCGCAAACATTTTTTTTTCCTCTTCAACTGTCTTTGTGATTGCTCTATTAAAAGCCTAAGGTGGTTTCCTAAACTAGTGTTTTTTATCTTTCCATCCTGAAGGTTAAGTCTCGCTCAGCACTTTTTGAATGTACTTTTCTTAAGATAAATTTAATGTACCTTCGACATATCTTTACTAATTATCATATACTGTTTTATAGGTCCTAAGTCATTCATCTCAAACTATTCCGCCAATTGTTCCTTGAGTTTATTGATCTCTTTTAAGTTAGATTTTGCAACAAGCATATCATCAACATACAAGAGCAAAATAATATAATAGTCATCAAACCTCTTGATATAATAGTTTTGATCCAACTTACATCTCTCAAAACCATTGTCACACATGAACCCATTAAACTTCTTATACCATTGTTTAGGAGTTGTTTCAAACCATACAAACTTTTCCGTAATTTGCATATAATTTTTTCCTTCTTTAGAAATTCAAAACCTTTTGATTATACCTTATAAATGTCTTCTTTAAGGTCACCATGTAGGAAATCAATTTTAACATCTAAGCTGCTCTAAGTGTAAATCTTTTACGAGCAACGATACTCAATACTAGCCTAATAGTAGTCATCTTGACTATAGGAGAGAAAATCTTGATGTAGTCAATTCCTTCTTTACGTTGAAAGCCCTTTACAACTAGTCTTACCTTATATTTTTTTTACTATCATCATGCTCTTCTTTAACCTTGTATACCCACTTGTTGTGTATAGTCTTTTTCCCTTCTAATAACATAGTTAAAGTTTATGTTTGATTCTTCTTAAGAGACCTCATCTCTTCTTTCATGCCTAACTCTCACTTGATATAATCTTTCACATACATTATTTCACTAAAGAATTCTAGTTCTCTAACATCGGTAAGAAGCAAATAGTTTAAGAAAGGTGAATGCTTTTGAATGAGTCCGGAAATTTTGTCGGATCTCCTTTGTTGAGGGGTAAGAGTTAGTGGTTCTGGTTTAGCTTAAGCTTCTCCATCTCCGTCATCCGAATTCCGAATCCAAGATATATCATCCTCTAAAATCTCCTCTCAATCAACTTTCTCACTTGTTTTTGTCTAGTTTCCTAAACTCGTTAGAATCGTCCTAAGCCTATGCTTATAAAATATATTTTTATTAAAGGTCACATCCCTATGCCTTATGATCTTTCTATTCTAATCATCCCTAAACCGATAAACAAAATCATTAGTGCCATAACCAATGAAGTAACACTTTCTAGCCTTAGGATCAATCTTATCTCTATCTTATATCCTACATGTATATATTACATGCAAACAAAGTTTCTCAAGTATGAAAAGTTTACCTCCTTTCCCGACCATACTTCCTCGGGTAATTTGAAGCCCAATGGAATTGAAAGTCCTCTATTTATAAGATAAGTTATTGTATTCACTACATCAGCCTAGAATGTTTTTGAAAAACCAGAATGTAATCTCATACTTCTTGCTCACTCATTTAAATTTCTATTCATCCTTTCAATAACACCATTTTGCTCTAGTGTAATAGGAATTGTCTTGATCATTCTAATCCCATTATTCAAAAAGTAATCTTTAAATTATTGCTAGCATACTCTCCTCCATTATATAACTTTAAGGCTTTGATCTTCGGACCGGTCGATTTTTAACTTCAACCTTTCATCTTTCAAATACGGTAAACACATTAGATTTATTTTTCAAAAAATAAACCCATATCTTTTTGGTGCGAGTCATCAATAAAAGTTGACATGGTAGCGTGAGCCTCCAAGAGAAGTCACAAGTGCTAGTCCACATACATTTGAATGTACCAATTCTAGCTTTCCTTCATTTAAGGATCTACCAAACTTTAAGAAATAGACTCTCTTCGCTTTCCATAGATGCGAGGCCTCACATAAGCCAACATCAATATGTTTCATTTTTGGTAATTTTTCCTTTGATGCTAACTCGCTTCAAACCCCTTTCACACATGTGCCTAAGTCTTTGATGCCATCGTATTGAATCACTATCGCCATTAGAATTGAACACTACTACTATATTCTTTGTTATAGTAGTTGTGTACAAAATCTCAACCTTGCTTCCTCATGCTACAACCATATTTTCTTTCATTATCTTCCGTGATCCACTCCCAAATACTGTTTTTTATCCAACATTATCGAATTTACTCATAGAAATCAGATTCTTTTTAAGACTTGGAATATGTCTAACATTCTGCAGTTTCAATGCATTCAGTTGGCAATTCTAATACTACCATCACATTTTTCCCATGATGTCTAGAGGTTTATCATCTATAAGATAAACCTTCCTAAATTTTCTCGTAACATATTTTTGTAGGAAATCTTTACATAAAGTAGAATGAAACAACACACTTGAGTCTATCATCCAAGACTCAATATGAATGTCCACACTTCAAATTAATGCATCCGTAATTTCATAAGTCATTGCATATGCGAGTTATGATCCCGATTCTTCTTTTTCTTAGAAGCCTTACACTAATTTTTAAAGTCCTCTTTCTTGTCGTAGTTCAAGTATGCAATCTCTTTAAGGTTTCGGATTTCTCTGTCTTTTGATTTTAACTACCATGAACATGATTTTGATCCCATTAAAAGTCCCTTCCTCTACTATTAGAACTCAAAGCAAAACACTGAAGGTTCTATTAATTCACTCTTGCAAAGATCTTCATTGACCATTAAATCTCGAACATCATCCAATTTTAATTTCTCATTCCTTGATGAATTGCAAATATCCGTTACCATTCCAAATCGGCTATCGGGTAGAGTAGTAAAATTAGTGCCTTAATTTCATCGTCAAACACAATGTTTATTGACTCTAATTGATCGATTAACACATTAACTTCATTAATGTGATTAGTCACGAACACACCCTCTCGCCATCTTTAGATTGAATAATCGATGCATCAAAAATATGTTTAAGGCGAGATGGCTTCTCATACATATTTGACAAGGTCGTCATCGGATGCTGCTCGTGGTATTTTTTTTTCACGATGCTCAAAGCAACATTTCATGGCGAGCTTCATCCAAATAACACCCAAAGCTTAGAGATCCAACAAAACCCAATCAACATCTTTCATTCCCTCTAGCTTCTTCATTGGTAGGGGTTCGTGTAGCTTCTTTTAATACATATAGTCTTCAATCTGCATCTTCCGGAATCCAAAGTATTTGTCATCAAACTTGCCAATCCTTCCTTTTCCTTCTTACGCCAACATTCCTCCTTACCACCGCTAACCTAGGGCTTTGATGTTAGTTGTTAGGAAACGAATCAAGCAAAAGAATAAAATATAAAGACACAATCACACAATACAAAGATTTTATGTAGTTTAGCAATAGTGTCTACTCCACAATTACACTAGGATTCTTATTAGATTTTATCAAGTGGCGGCTACAAACATAAGTGATGCTTGTCTCTATTTATAGTATGGACAACTAAGGCTATTAAAAAAAACAAAAGACCTAATGGGCCAATACACCGGCCTAATCTTCGTAAACCTTTTGAGGGCTCCGCCCCTGAGCCTCTATATAACTTTTTATACTTGTGAGTCTTCATCCATATCAATCTTCACAACTTAACAATAATGAGACTTAAAATGAAACAAATTGCTGAATAAACATCAAAAGAAAGCAACTAAATTACTCCACTCTCCATGAGAATTCATTCATTACTTACCAATAGAAAATAAATAACAACAATAGAACAAGTGAGTAACTGCAAATGGGAAGGGAATCGGGCTTTTATGCGTATCTCAATGCAGACTCTTCTATAGTACTCCTTTCGAATAAGGTAAATTTGTTCTGCAAATAAGAGAGCTAAAAATCAAATTAATATACAAAATTACAAATAGCCAAATACCACACGACACACTTTATTTTGGAGAAACGCATATTGCCCCCATCGAACAGGATTGCATCATCTCTTGGGATGGAATGCTGTTAGGTAGGTCTGAATGGCAGTAAGTGTCAAACCAAAGGCTGCAGCAACAAATGCAATGAAGGTCCAAGGACTTCTGAAATAAACTTGCAGACATTCAGCTATCCTATCCATTTCTTTATGGTGTCCTTATAATGCAATTCAATGTGCTGTCTAACATCATTATAGGCGTAACGGCTAGGTAGCAGATGCTTGGCCATCTCGTTGACTAGATCAGCGACTTGTTGGTCACGTCCGAGATTACTGACTATACGCCTTCTGATTGCAGAAGTTTCACATCGTCAGCATCTTGAATTAGAGAATCCAAGAAGCAGATGTAAGAAGTGACCCAAAGTTCACCAACATGCCTTTCATACTCTTATCAAATTTTAAGAGCAACGATTCAGATGAGTTATCTACGGTGAAACGAGGGAGTTCGAGCATGCCAGCAAAGAATGTTGATTTGAACTTGAGATCCGTGAAAGTATTAGTACTGTTTGGCCTGAATCAGATTCCTCTCGTTTTAAGTTCGGTGGCGGAATGATTCTCATTCCAAGCTCTACTTTAAGGACGATCAATCACTTTCTATTTGCTGATCAGTTTTCTATGAAAAAGTTCGAGGAGATGAGCAGGCTGATCTTCAACTTCTCTCTCGCTTGTCTGTTTTATGGGAGCGTGGAGAGCAAATATTACTGCCAACAAACTTCACTATCACTTCCTTGGACGAACCTTGTTGAGGAGGAACAGCTCCAACGTAATCAAGGAAATCGTTGATCAATTACATCCCTTCTCCGTTTTCTTTGAACCTCAAGCTCAACAATAACTAAAGGACAGGGAAAGCAAGCTGGTTCTCTAGCAATAAAAGGTCTAGTTTAACAGAATATGCATCCTCAGTACGAATCATCTTCAGATTTTCAGGCTTAACTAAAGGACAGGGAAAGCAAGCTGGTTCTCTAGCAATAAAACATCTCGTTTAACAGAATATGCATCCTCAGTACGAATCATCTTCAGATTTTCAGGCTTAAGTTAAAAAGAGAAGAGGAATTGGATGATGAAGCAGCCATCAAGAAAAACCATATTTGTGAACTCTTCATTGCTGATATGTAAGTAGCTGCCACCTTGTTATACAGGACTTCAATGGATATTCCACTATCTTGGACAAACTGACATGACATTGTATGCTTGAACTCATTCAAAGTAAGTGCGAATACCTGATAAATCCCGACAGCTCATCCATTCAATTTAAAAGATACCGACATACATTGATCATCCCAAACCACTCAGGAGTTGATATATATGTATATAGATAGAAAGAAACTGAATATATTGGAAAGAAATTTCTGTTGCCACTGTCCTAGCTTATGATAGAAGAAATAAAAAAAATTATGGATCTTAGCTCTGCGAAAGTTCTCGGCTGCGCTTTGCAGCAGCAACAACAGCATTCATTAGGGTTCCACGAAATCCACCCTTCTCCAATTCATGAATACCAGTAATAGTTGTTCCCCCAGGTGATGTTACATCATCTTTAAGCTGACCAGGATGCTTCCCAGTTTTAGTGGCCATAGATGCTGCCCCTAGAACCTGCAGAAGAAACACAAAATTCAACCACCCCATGCAACATACTAAATGAAGACTGCAGATATCCTGATGATTCGAGGTTCCTCAGAGAATTAAATACCCCACAGATAATTCTCATGACCACTTCAACCACTGCCCAAAACAGTAGGCAAACTGCCCCTACTTTCATTTGAGGTACAAGAAGCAGTAGCTTACTAAAATCCACAATATAAGGGATTACTCAGTAATAGTGGATTTACTATTTTTGGTGCCTTAAATAGTTGGTAAATGGAACGAGATTGGATTTATCCTGCACATTGTCCAGAATGGGCATGTCTTGTCTTTCAGAACATACAAATCCAGATCCTTTTCAACAAACAATAATTTAATAAGTAAATTTATATTACAACACGTAATTTTCAAGGAAACATTGTTTTCTTTTTCATTTTCATTCTATGTTTGTATTTTTCATTTTGGCAAATTAAGCATTAGCAGTTTATCACTACATCAGCTGAATCTTGATGAAATGTAGAGCTTTAAAACATGAGGAAGGCAAACTTGCTAATCTTAGTACACAGTTACTGTGGTGGCCAAAAAAACATCAAAGGCTCCAATTTCTTCCCTTGTTCTATTCAGTGGGTTACAGCCAGTGAACTTGTGTAATATGAGACAATTCAAATACTATGTTGTATCACTCTGTGAACAGTGATTGCCATCCCTGTTAAATGACTTACAGTTTGAGAAGCTAGACCCATTGCGAGTTCTCGTGGTAGACCTGCAGCCACTCCTCCATCAGCCAAAGCTTCAATCGCTAGGTATATGTAAGCTGGGCCACTTCCACTGATCATGTATGCAGAAAGAGAATTACAATATAGCAAAATGCGATCATGCAATCTCTATTTTATTAAAATAGAAAAGCATGTATAAAGCAATAGAAGTTAGTGCATGCCACTTGATTGATTTAGAGCCTTTCTCAAAATATTAACTAAATCAGTATGATATTACCCTCTGCAAAAGCATCATACCTTAGGCCAGTGATTGCATCAAACAATTTATCATCAGCTCTCCATATCTTGCCAACTGATCCAAACAATTTAGTTATTAGCTCTCCATCTTCTTCAGTTGCAGCTCCACCCATGCTCATAACTACTCAAAAAACAAACAAGTTAGAAACCAACTTCTTCCCTAATTCCTACAAATTTAAGATGTAAATAATTCCTCACTAACATACACTGCAGAGCGACTTGAAGAGTTGAAAGGTGCACATTATCACACAAAGAAATAATGAAAGCATTTTGAGCAAAAAAACAAGGCAAAAGCTTTCAGCTGCTAAGCTGATTATGGATACAAAATAAGACCATCATAACGTAGTTCATGGTTTGATAACATATACAATGAACACAATATTCTTTGATGAAATAACATGTGTAATGTTGCTCTATCAGTAAGGATCGTTAACAAAAGAAACATAACTAGCATACAAAGGAAAAGGTAACAATTTTACCTGACGCTGCCTCACCAACAGCGGAAGGAGTATTTGGCATCACTCTTACAAATCGGCCATGACCTGCCCATTCCTAAACTAAACAATATTTTACTTCAATTAGATATCAATTATAAGAATGGTAAATTTAAAGATAGCCCAAAACAGATAAATTTGCAAATAAAACAAGCACAACAAAAATTTCAAAAAAAAATAGTGAAAGAAATCAACAACCTGCAAATCTTTCAATTTTATTCCAGCCGCAACCGAAACCAAAAGCTTGTCCTTAGTGAGCAGTGGCCTTAATTGCAAAATCACATCTTTAACTACACCAAAATATAATAGCATAATTAGCCACACAAAATTAATAGCTTTACTGGAAAAATAAATAAATAAATCATCGTAGAAAACTGAATTAGCCCATGAAAAAAATCGAAGCTTTACCAAAAATATGAATAAGACAACCGTGAAAGAAATTGCCATAACATACCAACTTGTGGTTTGACGGAGAAAATGACCACATCACTCTCTTCAAGAACCTGCAAATACCACAACACCAATAAATAAATCAGTAACTAATTACTAATCAAGAAGTTAATTAAAGAATTGTTTTGTGCTAATTACATTGCGATTCTGAGGGAGAACTTTGACACCAAAAGATTCGAAAGCGAGACGACGAGAAGGATTAGAGTGAATAGAGGTAGAGATACGAGGAGGAGGCAAAACACCAGATTGAACAACTCCTTTAGCAATACTCTCTGCCATTTTGCCAGCTCCAATAAATCCCAACTTGTATGTCTCCGTTTGTATTGCTAAAAATTGTGTCGCCTCCATTTTTGTTCTTGCTGTTGGATCTCTGATTATACTGAAGCTGAGACACTGAAGAGAAGACGAATGAGAAGTCTTCTGGTATATGTACTTAGGGCCGCAGCGAACTGTGAGACTCGGATTAGCTTACAACATATCCGAATCCGATTTCTTTAATAAAACATATGCGATTCAATTTTATAAATTCGTGTTGAGCTTTTTAAATGTAAAATTGGATTCAGATTTTAAATTAGATATTTATCATTTGATTTTTAAAAAAAAAATTATGATTACTACATTTTATATATTTTTAAATATAAAATATATTTTAATCACTGCATATGTAAAAAAAAATATTAAAAAAATATTTTATTTATTGATTTTATAAAAAATTTAAAATGTTATATAATTCAAAAATACAAAATCAAATAATTTTAATAAAAAATTATTTTAAACTAGATAGAAAATATAATAAAATTAAAAAAAATAAATAACAAATAACTTTTATTTTTTGTTCCATGTGGTAGTAAAAATAGAGTGACAACAAATATAATAACATCAAGTCTAGAAAATATATATAAGTCAATTTATAATTTTTTTATGAAATTAAATTAAAAAATAAAAATATATATATATATAATTTTTTTAAAATACAATCGTGGTTGAAAGGTATGCGTTAGTTAAACTTTATAAAAAATAAATTCTTAAATTTCAATCTAATTTCATATTTTTATTTTTATTTTTTGTATTTAAATTTTTATTATTTTTAATTTCGAATCGAATTATTATCATATCGGATCAAAATAGATTTAGATTTAATTCATTTAATAGATAGATCAATGACTTTAGATTATAATCAAATTTCAATAAAAAAAATTATTTATTAAATCCATTTCTTAAAATTGATCCAGCCCATTGCATTTGCAGTTAAAATGTTTTAAAAAAGTTCCACGTAGCCATTGCTTGTTTAATGAGTATCTGAGACCAAATGCTACAATAAATTTGTTTCCAGCAAACCTATTTTATTTAATAAGATCTCTAAGCAGTTGGCATAATGATTATAAGCGTTTTTTCTCTTTCTTAATTTCTAATTCAAATTTTAAAACCAACATCTCAAAATAATAATAATAATAATAATAATAATAAATTCATTTGAATGCATACGAGGAGGTGCAATTTTAAGATCCTCTGAAAAAATAATTTAATTTTAATTGATATAAAAGTTAGCATTATAAAATCCTAAATATCAAATAAATAAACAAAACACTAGTCAGCACTTATTAACAATTAAGTTCAAGAAAACTACCATGTGCACCTTATAGTTTGAACATAGTCACACTTAACATTTTTCTTTTTCATAAATTTCAATTTACTATCTATATCTACATAAACGTGTTTGAAACATTAGTCTTCTTCCAAGAATAACTTCAATTATTACAAAAATGTTATGAAAAATGCTAAAAGATATTTAATTGTTGAATTACTCGTGTGCTTAACAAGTAAATTTTGTGCTTTTACGGAAAAGTTGATTATAATTTCATCAATGTAGTTTAGCAAATCTAATTAATTAGTCCTTGTATTGTCGAAACTATATATTTAATCCCTTTATTTTTAATTCACGTATAACTTTGTCCTTTCATCAATTTCAAGTTCTTTTTCATTTTATTTTGTTATTTTGTCTTATGATAAATAGAGAAAAAAATGGAGAGGAAAGTGGATAAGATGGAAAAAATTAATTAGAAAAGAAAAGTTTTGAAAAAAAAAATCTACTAAATTGCGTATGATTAATGTTGATCAAGAAACTTTGAATTATGTTCGATACTAAGATAATTAATTAATTGATTACAAAAAAAAAATTAAAAGGACTAAGTTATAATTAACTCTTACATGAGATATATAGAAAATATAAAACAAAAGCCAGAATGACTATTTAATTCATTTAAAAGAAAGAAACATAAAAAGCACTCTAATATTCATTTCAAAACCAAGGATAAACTCTTAATCCTAGATGAGAATTAAAAACTCCCGAACAAAGGATTCAACCCATCAAATACAATTTTTAACCAAATCGTTTATTTCTTCTTGATGGTTTGTGTGTTTTCAACATTTAGATTAATTATACTTGATATTCAATCTTTTTTAAAAGATTGAAAAATGGTGGTGGTGTCTTTTGAAGTATTGCAAACATGGAGCACAAACAATAGAATTAATAGTGCCGGATGTGTGTCCAACGAAAGCCACTATGATGGTTAAGTCAATATCTTGATCATAATGTATAAGTATTTAGAAGAGAGAGAGAGTAGGCTCTCTAAAAATATGTGTGTGTTGAAATTATTTTACTTATGTTTTATGAAAGAAAGAGTCCTTATATATATAGTAGAAAATATAGGTGTAAGGCATGTGTTTAGAATGTTCGCCAAATAGCTATAAGATCTTAAAGGAGAGAGTCTATAATTGTGAGAAAGGTAAACCTAGTGAGCTTAGTGGGAGAACCCAAATTTCACTCCTCATCGCTTGCTCCTTTGTCCAAAAGTGATGCTCACTCGATATGAGACATAATCATATTCTAGTATAATTTAATTTAAGCGAGTAGGGACTTGGAGATGTAACTCTTTAAATTTTTAATGTTTGGCTTGTTTTTTTTCTTTAGAGGGGGCATCTTACATATAAAGTTGCTTCATTACGAGGATTTTGGAGTCACTTGACTAACTTATACTTTTTTCATGAGGCATGTTTTGGTGCTTATTGTTAGCACCCAATTTCTACCTCAAGTAATTTAATTAAATATGTGAGTTTGAAAGAAAATACAAAAAGAAAAAAGAGAATTAATTAAAAAAATAACAATTCAAGAGTTTAATTAAAAAAATAATAATTCGAGAGTTCAATTAAAAAATAAAAATGTGAGTACCAAAGAAAACCCAATTAAGGATGCAATTAAAAGGATTAAAACCCAAGATTTTAATTGAAAGAAAAAAAGGGTATTATTGAGGAAAGAACCAAACAAACCAACACTCGAAATTAAAAATTGAGAAAAACCAAAGACCAAACATAGTGTTTGCCCAAAACCCTAAATTTTTTTTATAAATACCTAACCCCTTCGATCATTTAAACTAAGGAAGGATCCAAAAAAACAAAAAAAAAACAAAAATCATCAAAATAGCCTTTGAGAAACCATCGGACCCTCATCCTAGACACTGTTTACTCGCCAAATTCATCGATGCTTCTCTTCCTAAATCACCCACCTTTCGATCGATATCTCCTCCATCCATCACACCAATCAATAGCCCACACCCGGATCCATCATCCCCGCCCAATTATATGAGAAGAAGATGTCGGAGGAGGGAGAAATCAAAAAGAGAACCACGATGACCCGACTCGATATCCGACCAACAAATATCTCATAATTTTAGCCAAACCACCAACTCCCACCATCATAAACATGATCGGATAACTCTCCTAAGTGGTTCCCCTTTGGAATTACGACCAAAAGTCACTAGAAAACGAACAAATTAATGATGATTCATTTCCTAATTCATTTTTCACAACTAGAAAAATTGGACGATCAAGGCCAAATTAGAACTTACGGCCATAAAAATACTCCTCTCAACCACACAAGTCAATTTGGTGTGCTCAAAATCCCCTAACATTATGGAAATCATCATCAAGAAGAAAAAGAGATCTAATTGAAACTTTGAAGCCTTCGATCTCCCTTCTTTAATGTCATTTCTTCGTCGCCACTACCATCATTGAGTTTATGATGACCTCTTCTATAATATAGGGTGGTTCACACACCCTAAAGGCCATCAAAAGTTTAATAGATAGTCAATAGTGGTTATTCATCTTTTACGAGTATTTTGGTAATTTTATAATGTAGAAGTATTTTGGTATCTTTATGTATAAGGGCATTTTAGTCATTTCATAACTAACTAGTCAAATTCTAGTCACCGTATAATAGCCTCCTTGATACCCATAAACGAGTTGTTTTCTTTCTTGGCTGATTGAAATAACAAATCTTCATTGAGATTGAAGGAAGCAAATTGATTCAATGAAAAGAATCTTGACATTCTCATGGAATTTGGGTAACTTTTAAAGCTATTTAAATTATTTTAAATTTTAAATGAATGTTAAATATTATGTTGTGAATGATTGTTATTATTGCATGTCGCTCGTTTATCGAAACGAAATTGTTGATGGCTTTCTACTTATATGACCAAAGCTTCTTGTAACTTCTAATCAGTTGTTGCCTAATGCTTGTTTGCTTAAACAAAGGTATCGATGGGTTTTCACTTATGTTGTTGAAGTTGTCCGAAGCTTTTAATCAATTTGTGCGCTTGTCTATTTGCTGAAACAAAACTTTCAATGGCTTCCTACTTATATGGACGAAGTTGCCTACTATTTTCAAATTATCTTACCTAACTTTTTGCTTATTAGAAATAAAGTTATCGATAGCTTTCCACCTACGTAGATGAAACCGCCTATAGCTTTCAAATCATTTGACAAGTCTTTTTGTTTGTCCGAAATGAAGCTATTGGTGGCCTTATGTGGATGGAACTACCAATGACTCTTGAATCATTTTATTTAATTTTTTTACTATTGAAATGAAGCTTTCGGTGGCTTTCCACTTATGTGATGAAGTTCGTCGGTAACTTCTCAAACCCATGATTCAAAGTTATCGACAGTGTTCCCACTTGTGTGAGTAAGGTTGTTGATGACTAGCTATTCATGTTAATAAAAGTCTATCAATCTTTAGAAACTCACTTACTTATTGGTATAAGTCGTGTTCGCTAAAGATTAACTAAAATTCTAATTTTTCCTATTTTTTCCGTTTGAGTATGGGTATTGGCCTCGGATTAGCCTAAATCTCGAATACTTTGTTATTCTAATCGATAAAATAAATTCACTCAAATAGGCATAGAAGCATAATATAGTAAAATTAGATTTTTTTTTATTTTCACATTCAAACATTGTAGCCTACCTCGAAGTAGGATCTGGATGATGGTGATGCTTATATCTTTTTCATACATAAC